GCAATTCTTCATTTTGTAAATGAGCACTTTGGGGGTTTATGTTGAAGAATTAGGAAAAAAGGAAGGCTTGGAGTTAGGTAAATTAAGGAAAAGTGACCAAGAGGGCTTTGAAAAACAGACTAAGCTGTACTTGGCCTTGATTAACTTAACACAAGGTTCCCCCTGGTGTTCAAGAGCAGAAATATCAATACATACTTCAATCTCTACATCCTGTTTCATGTAATAATTTATACAGTTTTCAGTAGTTTCTGAACCCTTTCAGGAAGAGAAATCTACTCATCTAATGCACTTATTATCGTCTCCATGAACTAGTAACAGTTACAGCTCCTGAGTTTGGTTTGCTTTCTTGGTGGGGTGGGTTATCTGTTTTCCTTATTCCTCTTCTGGTTTCCTTCCAGGCTGTGGTTTCTTGGTGGGGTGGGTTATTTGTCTTCCTTCCTGTGCACTGCATTTACTTTTCTGGATACTGCTCAGCCTTCCAGAAGAGAAGGAAGAAAAGGAAACTTGCACCCACGTGCGGCTACTGTGCACCAGGCTCTGGTTTCCTTCCTTCCTGTCTCCCTCTCCCCTGCTACCAACGTGGATTTTCTAACGGCCACTGCTCTGGGTGCTGGAGACGCAATGGTGAATGAGGTGAAAGGTCCCTGCTCTCACGGCACTTAGATTCTGACAGCAAAGACAGATAGTGGACATGAAGGGCATCGGGCAGGGATAAGCGCTATTGGTGCTAGAGAGACAAAGGGTCATCAGAGTCTCCTCTCACAAGAGAGGTCAGAATGAAATGAGAGTGAGTCAAGAGCACATCTGGAAGCCAAAGGTTCCTGGAGAAAACGTGAAGGAATAAAGGCTCTGGCTCATGCAGGAAGCCTCGGAGAGCTGAGTGGCTGAGCACAGTGCCCAGGAAGCGAGGTGGGAGAGGACTGACAAAGGACCCGGACATGATCCAACTTCCAGTAAGGCGCATGTTGTTGGCAGAGCTGAAAAGATCTGTGGAAGGCTCAGGTGAGCCAGGAGAGAGATCAGACGGAGTAAAGGATGACTCCAAAGTGAAACAGTGCAGTAGAGGGAGATGGGGAACAAGGGAGGAGGGGACATCGAGGCTTTGTGAATGCTTCAATTGTTACAAAAGTAATCAGCTTTGTACATCAAACATTCATCATGGTTTACAGACTATTAAAAACAGGATCAGCTATACAGTTACAAAGTGGGTGGGGCAGCGAATAATCCCACTCTTTTGTCTCCAAAGACCTTGGCCTTCCGCTCTGCTGTGCTGTCCCTCCAAGGCTCTGTTTGGCTGCACAGTGGGGGGTGCCTCCGGGACACAGAAGACAGCCATGAAGAAGAACCCTCTGTGAATCACCCTTGTCCCCTTCAGAAGGACAAGGGACTCTTTCCTCGCTAGAATTACCTAACCAACACGCGACTTGATATTTCCAAGCCCATCCTATGTATTTTAAGGCACTTCAGCTCATTATGGGTTTAGATCATGGGCTCCAGAGCAGGATCCTGGGCGTCAAACTCTATTACTACTAGCTACGAGGTCTGCCTGGCCTTCCTATTCTTATTGTATGGAATCACAAAAATTGATCAGGGAAACGATGGTCTTCATCCAAACTGTTTATAAAGTGTTATTGGGGCACACTGTTACCCAGAAGTGACTGTTCTCAGAGCCTGAGAATAAGTTTGGGGTCACGCTTATCATGCACTGAGTGGAAAACAAGGAGCCCTACTCACCGCAAGCCGTCGGCCACATGCAGTGCTATCCTGTGCTGCAGGGTTCTGGTGAGGCTGCCTTTGTCCTGCTGAAGCAGGCGGTCCAAGGAACCCTTGGATGCCAACTCCATCACCAACATTCGAGGGCGAATCCCAGCCGCCAGCAGAGATATCAGGCTGGGGTGGTGGAGGTGGCAAAGCACCACCAGCTCCTGCAAAAGTCCAAAGTCATGTAAGGGTAATATAACATCGTTTCTCGTGCAGGCGTCGCTTCTCTAAGGGCCATCAGCATTTTGATCACGGTTTTCTCTGGGTGACCAGTCGATAACAGCAAACTTTCCATTTCTGCTTTGAGGTTTTGAAAAATATTTTCCATATTTTAAGTAGTAAACAGCTGGTTTTGAAACTACAGTTGACCCTTGAACAACCTAGGCTTGAACTTTGCATGTTCACAGACACCAATTTTCTCCCACCTCCACCACGGCCAGAGAGCAAGACCAACCCTCCTCTGCTGCTTCTAAAGAAGCTTCTCAACATGAAGGCAATGAGGATGAAAATGTCTGTTTCACTTCCTCTTAAAGAATAGAAAATACATTTGCCTTCCATTTGATTTTCTTAACAAAATAGTCTTTTCTCTATCGTACTTTATTGTAAGAATATATGTGACACATATAACATAGAAAATGTAGGTTAGTTGGCTGTTTATGTTAACAATAAGGTCAACAGTAGGTTATCAGTAGTTGTGCTTTGGGGGACCAACAGTTCTATGTGAATTTTCAACTATGCAGGAGGTCAGTGCCCCCAGTCCTCAGGTTATTCCCCAATCAACTGTGCTGTTTGAATTAAAAATTTAAAGTCTATTTTTTTTCCCCTTCTGCTCTGCTTTTATCGGAACATTTAATGCAGGGACAGTACACACATTCTGGTCATATAGCAGACCATGTCGATGTCATGTACTGTATTCTGGTGAACCACGGAATCCCTCCTGGCCCAGGATTCTGAATAGCCACTAGTAATCAGCGGTAACTGGCGTATGAGGGGAGACCTGCCTATAATCTTTGGTTTACTGACTACACAAGTTTATTAAGGAAATCCCAATTCCACAGAAATACATGCCATCATCTCCTCATGAGCTCTCTCTAATGAATTTCCATTACTCTCAGGTAAAAACCATGTGCTTCCGTGGCCTCATGGCCTAACATGATCCGGCCTTAGCCATTCTTCCTCTTTACCACCCTTCATTACACTGGATTCATCCCATCCCTGGCACTCGCCCTGCTCCATCCATCCACAAGGTCTTTGCCTTTGCTGATGCCTCAGCCTAGAAATCCCTGTAGCCTTCACGTGGCTGAAGGCTTCTTGCCGCTCAGATCTTAGGTCCAATGCTACCCACCGTGGACCACCCTTACTACAGCCATGCCCAGCTGCAGCAATGTCTCTGATATCCGGGATGCCAGAGAACCCACTGTAGCCTGGACAGAGGCCTCCACTGTGAAACACCCCTCTCTGTGCCCCACATTATTACGCAAGCGTTCACAATCTCTTTACGACACTGGGTTTGAATTCCACATTCACTTTATTCTGTATATATCTCACTTGACTCTGAAGCTGTAACCTCATTGAAATTTATAGCTTTTGTGATGTTAAATTGATGCCTATTTTAAACTGTGATCGCTGCAGAAGCTCCACTTCCTAACAACCAGCTTCAAAGACATGGAGTAGCAGTGCCAACCCCAATTGTCAGGAAACCGAAGTGTGGAGAATTCTGCAAGCCCAGGAAGAGAACCTGAACACCCCGAGTGGGGATTTTCCAAGAACAAAGCTTCAGCCTGCAACTGTATTTGCTCTGTAGATGAGATCCTTTTTTTTTTTTTTAAATGTCCATGTCTGAGTATCTTAATTGGTAAAAATGAACAAGTCAGATTTAGCTCTGCCTACTTCTGTAGGTACAGAAAGAGGCTTGATCCTAATTTTCCATCCTGGAAAAGTAACTCATCGATTACAAAGAGAAAGGATCAAGACCCTAGACTAGATCTTCCCCATGCCTGACTCCTGGTCGGCTGCCTCTCCACTATCATCTGTCTTTCTGTTCCTTCCATTTACAGAGAAGCAGCATATTATACAAACTCTTCAAGTTCTTGGCCCTTCCCTCGGTTTGCCTACCTGCCTCCCCACTCATCAGCCCTGCACTCCTTGTTAGTGTAGATTTTCACCGTGGATCCCAACCCTTCTTCATAAAATTCGAAACATATGCTCGAGACCAATGACCAAAGTCAAAAAATCAAATTATATAACGAATTACCTATAGACTGAAAGAGACGGTGCCCAGATTTTGTTCACAGACTCATTCCTATCTACAAAATGCTTTAACTTCATCCCAGAACTTTTGTGACTAATAATCACAGACATAATGTTTTTCATTACTCAGAATAACTAAAATATCATAACTATATATTTTTTAAAGTTTACATAAAGGATTTAGATTCAGCCACTAAGAATTTCTTTTAATAGATCAAGGGCAAAAATTAAAGAAGAAGAAATTAAAAAATTCAGTTGAGTTCCTACAGAAGGTGGAAAAACTAGTACTGGATCTTCTGTCCCCGTCACTCAAGTCGGTATCCCTCATCCCCACTGTCAATAAAAACTAGGGAGTAAAAAGGAAGGGAGAGACCCTCACCAATACCCCAAACAAGAGACAATCCTGGAGCGGCCACTCTGGGCTGCACCTTCCCCTTACTTTTCTCGTAAGAGTACCCTGACTTTTTGCTGAGGTACCAAACCCTCACCCATGCAGCCTGTGGACTTCAGGTCAAGGGTAACTGACCCCAATAAAAGCCTCAGAGAACAGGTGGGACCATTGTAAGTAATACCATCCTCATGGCCTCAATGATTAGCTTAGTGACACAAAGCATTACCCTGAATATTGTGCTTGTTGAGAAAAGGTGACTCAACTGAGACCAAGAGAAGGGTTTTGGTTTTTTTTTTCATTTAAGAAGATACCATATAGGGACAGCTTTTGGTTTCTTTGAAATACACAACCTCAAAAGAGGTGCCCTCTTTTCTTCTGTCCTTGTGATATGTAATTCTGAAGCCTTTTGAGTAGCAAGGTTCTAAAGTAAAATGGGGAATGGGAGTCCTACAAAAGTTTCCCATCATAGTCAAGTATCACAATTACAGGAATTCTCAAAATACTGTCTTTTCTTCATTTTTCAATGGGAGAAATAACACAAAACTTTCTATTCCATAAAGAAAAGGCAAAGTGAGATTTCGTAATTAAATTCATGTGAACTTTGAAAGTATTTCCATAATGGCATGCAAAACAAGAGCCTAAGAGATGAACAATACGTCGCTGAACGTAATAGGATTAACGGGACTTCTTACTTGTCTCAACAGCCTAAGTGATGTGTGTTTATTAAAAATCTTCACAGCCACTTCTTCTCCTTCATAGGCTGCTCGATAAACTGATCCAAAACTGCCATCACCTTTTGAAAAGAAAAAAGAACAAAGCACTTAAGTTAATCTGTCCAGCAGAAGAAAAACTAATTGTATCTGTCGTGTATGTGAAGAGAAATCTGACCCATTGTTCTATTGATCGACTCTCTTTCAACATTTCCTCATCCTTCTAGTCCATGAACTAAGTTACACCTAAAAACTCTGTCCCTGACTCTCCTATCTTCCCTCTACTAATGTCCTGCTCAGTTACTTCACCCTCTCCTGTGACTTTCTCTACCCCTACATGTACAGAGTTTTCACTTACAGCCACAGTTACCTCCCAAATGCTATTCTCTATTTCCAACTCTGTGCTGGAGATTTCCACTGGCACGCTTTTCCAAATCTCAATCACCTTTCATCGAAAGCCACATTCATCATCTTTTCTGCTCTGTTTCTCATTCTCCAGGCTCAAGTCCAGTAGTTTTCCTCCTAGTCCTGGATGAACAGGAGGAGCTGTCTAAAGATACTAATGTCTGGACTCAAAGATTCTGATCTAATCAGTCCCAGGACATATGGGTCATTGGGGTTTGTTTGCTTGCTTGCTTACTTGCTTTTAATTCCCCTGGTGATGGCTATGAGCAAGCAGGGTTGAGAACAACTGCTCCAGGCAAACTGGAGTTTCCCAAACACGCTTTGTACCTGAAGTCTGCATACTCTTCTATGTCAGTCCTTGAAGAACTCTGCTATCCCACCATCTCAACCTGCAGAGAGTTCACCAAGCCCACAAGGCCCAATACATTTCAGGAAATTGAGGTCTGCCTCAAAACCTCACCATGATCAGCCCCCTGAACTATCCTTTTCCACCGGCAAATTGGTACAATATTCACGGTTCTCATATACAACATTAAAACACGATCACCTCACCGATATAAGTTAATAAACACAGAAAAGTCTACAAGAAAATAGGACAACACCTTGTTATTTCTAAGTGATGAAATTAAGCTTCTATGGGAAGCGTCTACCTGTGTATTTTCAAAATCTCCATAATAAGCATATATAATCACATATTATTTTATGCCCAGAAGCAATGTATACTAAACTAAATACTAAACTCATTTGAATGACTTTTATATTTCAACCAGTTTGTAGATATGTGAAGAGTAATCGTCATCTTATCAGTCTTAATATCCTCTTATCCTGCCCCTCTAGTACTCAATAAATACTCAACTTTTAAAACTATTGTGTTAATATCGTCAGTATTGAAAGAGTCTCAGAGAGCGACGAAGGCTATAAGCACAGTGAAGTACTAGAATAAGAAATAGGATTGAGTAAACAGGAGAAAAGAAAGAGAGGAGAAGCAAGTGGAGGCAAGAAGGCGAGGATGGATAGGCGAGAAAGACACTTAAATAACAGGTGCATTCTATTCTGGTTCCCCACAATCTGGAGAACTACTCATAACAAAGGGAAATGTTAATGTGATGTGACAGAGAGAGAAACACACTATAGGAAGATCAAAGAGGGAGGAGAGAGAGGTCTTCATCGTCCTCGGAGACTTTCTCAATACGGACTGCAAGTAGTGATTTTTAATTTTTAAAGCCCTTTTTTGAAAATCACTGGTATCACTGCAACATGAACATGGAATACGGACTATCATATCCTTCAGGCAACCACAAACTAAAATAAGGTTAAGAATTGCCTTTGTAGATTTGAGACACCTAAGTGGAATGAAAATTGAAGACAAGGAAATCTTCCTAACCTATCAAATCACACCGTTAAAGTCTATTGTGGCTCTCCAAAAGAATCAGTCCATCAAAGAGAGATATGCCACACGATTCTTCAGATTCATGAACAAAACCTCATAAGTTAATGTTTTAAAATATATTCACAAAACAAGTTCATTCACATTTTTTTTTGGGGGGGGGCCAGGGCTGGGTTTGAACCCGCCACCTCCAGCATATGGGACTGGCACCCTACCCTTTTGAGCCACAGGTGCCGCCCTCATTCACATTTATTAAAATGTGTCATATAAGTCACTGAAAATAGTTGCCACTATCTGGGAAGGAAAGGGTCAACAGAAAGCCCGCATTCACTTCTTCCCTGCAAGAAAAATGTCTTGGGGGCAGCTGGCCAGGAAAAAGTGATGATCTGGGGAAAGTTTCCAGATCAACATAGCATAAAAGATACTGGGAGTCTCTAACTATAAAATGTTTTTAGATTTGTTGAGGTCAGAGGTACTCAACTCCAACCCCCATCTTTGACAATGTCTGGAGACATTTTTGATCACGCCTCTGTTGGGGTAGGGAGGAAAGAGAGATACTACTGACATCTAGTGGGTAGAGGCCAGAGACGCGGCTAAACATCCTACGATGCTCAAAACAGCCCCAATAATGAATTCTCCAGTGCAAAATGGCAACAGTGTAAAGGCTGAGATACTACTGTGTAGATTGCTTTCTGTAAATAAACATGAAATTTGTAAGCTTATGGGATATGGAGCTAGAGAAGGAAGAGTAATCACATAAGCATTTTTCCCAGCTGTGTAAGTGATTAAATACAAAACACAGATGCTTCAAAACAGCCTTTTAAAACAGAGTTTCTACATACACTACTTAAAACTTGTCCACTCATCTGAAACTCATCTTAATACAGGAAAGGGAAATATTGTAGGGAGCTGTGTCTGACAGCTTGGGGCTTCTTCAGAGCTAGGATACACTATGTCTGGTACTTGTTTGTATTCTTTGAATCATTACTGAAGTTTGGGGTTGGCTAAGATTTAGGATTCAACATTGACAGTTTACCATTTTGTGTTAACCCACTGTTACTAATATATTCCCTTCCAGAGTTCCAAAGCCTTTGAATTCATTCTTAATTTTCTAATCAAGGTGAAGAAATAAAGGTATGAATCATGTCCCAGGTTTTGGATGATTTTTTCTAATATGATAACCTAATCAATAGATTTTAGGCATTATTTCTATGCTAACTTAACTAAAATTAAATGTATAGACATCACAACAAATATGGCACAAAGTTAAGTCAGAACTGTTTTCAAATACTTTAAACTAAATACACCCAACGCTTTTCACAGACTTCCCAAAGACTCCCAGGAACGTTTAAAACTTGAGTTTGTCAGTCCACAGTTAATAACAGTATATAATATTGCTCAGAGAGTAGATTTAATATAACATTAGATACGGTAGATTTAATATAATAGTAGACTTAATATAATATTGCTTAGAGAATAGATTTACATATCCTCACCAGTAAAAAGGATAAGGTAATATACCATATGTTAAATAATGTCTCCATTTCACAATGTATACATACATGAAAGCATCCCACTCTATGCCATAATAGAAACAATTTTTGCTTTTCAATCAAAATAAGTTTTAAAAAATTTTTTAAATGAGGTCAGCAGTGAGCTGGATAACGCAGAGTATCACAGACATTAAAAGGACATTAGCTTTTATTTTGAAGAGATGAGAAAGTAAGCCGGCATTCCACAGAATGACACAGGTGGCATCTTATCTATTGTTTCTTTCCAAACGTAGTTATAATGTGTAAGTATTTCAACTTAAGTGTATGGAGTATTTTTAAAAACATCTTTTACCTCTCAAAACCCATGTGTAAAGGACAGAATAGACCCAAGAAATAAAGATAGAAAGGAGAATATTGGAACATGTTTATTATGTTTTTTCTAATCAACACCTAAAGATGCTACATGAATTTGGTGATTTCTGTGCTACCCTGTTGAAAATCAGATTGGATTTATGGTATCAACAAATGTAAATGTTCCGAATACAAGGAAAAAAAAAAAAGAAAAAGGACTCAAGTAGGGCACCAATTAACGCATCTGATTTGATGAGTATATTTTGTGAGATTTCAGCTTCGTCATACTGAGTCATGAAACTGTGGCTGTGACTACACAGAGGCTGGCTTTCTTTCCTTATTCGTCCTTTTGAATCTGAAAAATAGCTGCTTCACTTCACTCAACTGAAAACCTCTTTATCCACCTTCCTCATCCCTGGCAATGAAAGAAAATGCCAGGGCACAGACCTCGATATTTCATAAATATTCCATGATGGTCCTGACCTCCCCCTGATCCTCCCCTACAAAAATGTGTGCAAAGCAAATTCTAGATCCCTAACACTATATCACTTTCAGATACATCACTCCAAACTTAAAAACTACAGTCTACGATATTAAAATTATGATCTCTGGATGTGTTCTAAATTATAAGGAAAAAAATTTGCACCCTCATTTTTATTCTCAAACGAACAAAAATAGTTACCTAGGAGAAACTCTGGAGCTTGTTCAAATTCCAACTCATCATTATTCAACATAATATTTCTAGGCAGGTCGGCCAAAATCAAGTCAGGAGCAATCTGAGATATTGGAATGGTGAGCCTTGGTTGATCTGGATTTATCAGGAGGTCGCCTGGGAAGGTATAAGAGTTTTCTTAATAAAAAGAGCACTTAGGGATATACATCAATTTGTGTGTATGATTTACAAGATCAATCACATATTTTCTATAATTTCTAATCACTCCCTTTCGAATGAGTCCTAAATTTCTCTAGAAAACTTTAAAAACTTCAAAAGACTTAATATTTATCTACTAGGGGTTTTAAGAATGTATTCCTAGCTTCATTTGTTAGTGAGCGGAATTCTGAACTGCTATAGACATCTGAGTAGGAAGTTATTCTCTGAGACATTTTTAAGAAACTCTCTGGGTGATTATCTAAGACTTCATCTCTCACCTGATAATGATTCAGGTATTAAGTTATCATATGTCGGTGAGTTATTTCTACGTATTGTCTATTTTAACCCTCATAACAATTCTGTGAGATAAATGTGGTTTGTACTTTTGTTTCACAGATGAGGTTGTGCTGCTCAGCGAGCCAGTGTCTTAACCATTAAGTCAACATTTTCTGAATCTAGTACACAAGATGTCATTGGTCATAAATCAAAATGTACGTTTCTCCAAACTGTCACCATAATTGAACATATTTTCACTCATCCTTCCAGATAAGAATAATTTTTACATTTATTAAAAGTCGACTTCACAAATATTGAAGTATTACTCAAAAGCATTTGTAACTTGTAACAAAACATACCTTCTTCAGCTTTTTTCATCAAGTCATCCAGGAGGATTTTCTGATGCTCTTCACCATCATTAAAACTATATAAGGCCCATTTCTTGAGTAGAGTCTCTCCTTCACCACAAATATCAATCTCCAGCAGCCCAGGAAACCATTCTTCCATGAGGGAATCAATGTGGTCCACAACTTGGCCCAAAAGGATACAGCCTACAGAATCCACAGAAGAGCTTATTAACATCCTGTCTGAAGCTAGGAAACAGGAGCTATGAGGGTTTTGTTTTTGAATTTAGATTTCTTTAGTGATACAAGTCAACGTTTTAAAATAATGTCCTTACCTTTTCTACAAGAAGGAACTGTAATTTTTAAGAAACTCTCTGAGTGATTATCTAAGACTTCGGATCCTACCAGACAATAGGCTTCGGGAGACCAATTCAAGTAGATGCCTTGTCGCCAATACATTCTGTTTGGGCGAAGTGCTCGTTCTGAAAGAAATTCGTTTCCTTGATGATTGACTATTTTGTAAATTAGGGGGAAAAAAACTACTACATACACCACAATTGACAGTAATGTAGATATAATCGTTTTGAAAGAAAGTATTGAGTTGTTGATAACATAAGTCTTCATCCATATCGAGTAAATACTTCACCTGTAATTCTGAAACACACTAAATGCCCTGTAGATTAGGATACATTTAGGTTCATTCTGTTAAGTAGGATAACATGCTTAACAGATGAAGAAATTTATAAATAAGTCCTCATAATTTGTAAAAGACGCTGGTGGTCATGCCAACCCCAAAACTTCCCGAAATGTTTTATGTACTGTAACTATGCTTATATTTTGATCAATTCCAAGCAGGATAAGGTTTATTTCAGGAACCAGTAATATCTGTATAAAGCTGACTTTTAACCATAAAGAAAGTGATATTTTCCTTTTGGGGCAGTAAGACTTTTTTTATTTAAAGGAAAAAACTAACATCATAACATCATATGCTCTTTTTTCTTTTAATCACTCTGCTGAATGGCCAGGACCTATCAAACTTGTCGAGTGAAACTCCTAACTATGCAGTGGTTATTTATTTTTGTTGTTGTTAATGATCGTGTGTGTGTGTGTGTGTGTGTGTGTGTTTAAATCAAGGACTCATAGTAATCCCACCTTGTAAAATTATTGTTTATAGTTTGCTGTGGCTTAGAAAACAAAATATTGCTATTTGTTAGAAATGTATTTAAGATAAAAACAAACAGATTTGTAGAAAAACCTGAGAAATTTTCACCCTGACAGATTTTGTGAATTCTTATGTATTTACGTGTCTTTATATTGCCCACTCTGAAGTTATATAAACTTATTTTCTAATTTTCAGCTACCTTCAAAACATGGCATATGAGAAAATGGCATATTATATTTAATAAGTTTAATTTATATAAATATCGTCTTCATTAAATGCTTACCTCTTCCCGAAAGCATGTAAGGAGAAATTTCAAGTAATCGACTGATTAACCTCGACCAAAATCCCATTGGAAAATAAGGCATTTCATACAGTCGAATGATAATTTCAGAGTTCTCACAATGGGGAAGTTCTATCACAGGCCTGTGCTCAGACAAACTAAAAAGGAAAGGACACTGTCATTATATGTGGGTCGTTAAGAAAGTTCAGAGATGCATAAACATCAAGAAACACAAAGCCTGCGCTGATGGAAACAAATGAAGCTCTCCCAGGGCCACCAGTAAGTGGAGCAAGTTCAACTTGCTCAGGTGACTCAGGAAGGACGCTGCTGACTGTACTTCTTGGAAGTGACGAATGCACCATCACATAGTCTGTCTCAAGACTTTCATAGTGACCCACATATAGCTTCATAAAACCCACCACCTTGTTGACCAAAGGATCTTACTGCTTGAAATCAACTTTTATTCCAAGCATTTATACTGTTTTTGTAACATGCTTTTGCTACATGCTTTTCCGACCCCCAAAATCCGAGTCATTTAATCAATTCAAAGGCATGCTCAGATGTTGCAGATGAGTGAAATTCGTTCCGTAATCCTATGTATGGCAGTAAGTTATTACAGTTAGTTATGCATGGACAAATGTTGAGAGTATTAAAAAATACATGTTCTTTAAAAAATACGTGTTCTTAAAATAGATACAACCTTTAAGAATATCTTAAGTAGAAGAGGCTGCCATTCATCAATCAATGTAATTTGCAATTTCAACAGCATACATATTACTTTATTAACATTTCCCGTTTTCTTTCAAAGCAATAAGAAAAACTTCTATAATATAAGGCTAGAACTTGGGCCTTTATTGTGATGCCATCAATTCTTTTAAAATTCTATTAAAAACTCACTACCTACCCAGAAATCACCTAATACAATAAACTCTCTTAGTACTGTGTCGGACACACACACATATACACCCACTCCTTCTCTCGCTCTCTTTCTCTCTCTCTCTCCCCCTAATCACAGGTTACACAGTAACCTCCATCGTTTACCTTCCTTAAAGAATTTGAGCAGTGGCAAGCCGAATAATAATTAAATACATAAAACAAGTCATTTACTATATCTTTCATGTCTAAATGCAGTATTTTCATTGAAGGCAGAAAGTTTACACAAAGAAAGCAAGAAAAAAATATTTCATACATCTATTACAGAACAAAGTTTCTTTGATAATTAAAAGAATATGATAAACAGTCCATTTCCCTGGAGTAATTCCATTTTTAAGATGTGGTTTACCTGCTTGGAACCAGCAAATGTTCTTCTCCTGTTGGCAAAGCAATCTGGAATTTTTCTAGGAGTTTAAAGTACTGTGACATGTAGTTCTTTGGAAATCTCCTTTTCTTTGAAAGAAATTTTTCTACATCTCTACGAGAAATAATTCCCTTAGGATGTTTCGGGTAGCCTTCCACTTTCACGGTCAAAATCTGAGAAATTTAAATCATAAACAATCACTAGAATTCCCTTTCGGAAATGCCACAAATTTAAAGCATTTCATAAATTTTTTTCTCTAAAAGCAATCAGAACAATTTTAATGCTGTCAAGTCCAATACCGGATCTAATTTCTGTAGCAACCAGGTGGCCTAGAAGCCCAGCAGGGCATCCAACGTCCAAGGAATGTGCTAAATTAAGGGAGTGAATTCAGATCAATAATTACTGAGATCCTCTAAAGCCAGGGAAGTTCCAGGTTTCCCTACCTACAATTAACAGATAACTCAACACCTCACATCCATATTGCAATCTCAACAATTACACGTTCCTTGGAAAATTATAATCCAGACTATTATGACTACAGGTTTGTAACAGAAATACTACTTTACATGCACATAATAGGAGGAGTTTCCATTAATGGGGAGAAAAACTGGGTAGTACAGTGCAGCAATTCTCCAAGTAACTCCTGCATTTTTCTGGATTCTCCTTGCAGAGTCTGGGTCAGTAAATACAGGCTGAGGCTTGAGAATTTGCTTTTGTAACAAGCAACTTAGATGATTCTAACACAGAGCCCATACATAGAGCTTTGATCATTAAGAATCCAAGTCAGAGCCCAGGTTCAAATCCAGCCTCTACTACTAGCAGTGTGACCCTGGGAAAGGTAACTGATTTTAATAAGGCACAGTTTTCTTCTCCGTAAAATAAAAATTAAAAAGTAACTGCCTTGGATAATACATGGAAAGCACATAGGACAATTTTTAGCAGATCAAAACCCCTCAGATATTGGCCATAATCATCTACATATGCCAATTTATTTTACTTAGCCAAGTTAATTTTAAAAAGAGGTTTGTGTTTAACTTTCTTTAGTAGATCTACAATGTTTACTTAAACAGGAGCAAACATTACCTGTGCTATAATGTAGCTGAATGAAATACTGGCTTGCAAAGTTCTTACACCCAAAGCCTGATTTTACCCCTCTCTTTATTTCTACTTTGTATGGCCAGCGTTTACTGAATCAATGACTGCATGATTATTGAACGTATTGGTATTTAATGACACTGTGCAATGGCTGGTTAATTAATAGAAACTGTAGTTTGTAGGAGTCTCATATTGTGTACTAATTTATAGTAGTCCTAGTTTGCTTCTAGTGAGTTAAAAAAAATTGCTTGCCATTTTAGCATGTTTAAAGTGCTAAGATCTTCTCTGACAATTGACCTCCAACCACACTTTGTATTTTCCTTGTAGCACCCTGTACGGCCTGACATATTATATATTTGTTTATTATTAATTTTCTCTTATTTGAATGTCAGCCCTATGAGGCCTTGGAGTTGAAATCCTAACTCCTCCTCCTCCTGAATGTATACCTTTGATAAATTACCTAAACTCTTTGTCTATCAATTTCTTCAACTAAAACTTAAAGGTTAATAGTGCCCTTTTTTTTTTTTTTTTGCAGTTTTTGGCCAGGGCCGGTTTTGAACCTGCCACCTCCGGTATATGGGGCCAGGGCCCTATTCCTTGAGCCACAGGCACGGCCCAATAGTACCCTTTCAAAGAGATTCTGGGATAATCTTTGTAAAACACACAGTAACCCCTCATAAACTTGTAATAATTTATAAATTATTCTAATTTATTTTATGTAGACAAATTCATTTTAATAGTAGTTGGTGCCTGATTTTTTTCTAGTAGATCTATAGTTGCGCTAGGATGATTTATAGTAGATTCCAAACATGGACACCATCAATTCTTTCCCCATACATGCAAGCTACTCACAAGGAGTCCGTTTCTCCTTCTCTGATTCTGAGCTGGCCTTATGGTTGCTCTGGTCACTAGAATGTGGCAGAATTGATATTTTTGAGAGTTTGGGGCCCAGCTTTTAAGAGGACTGGAAAATTCTGCTTCATTTTTCTTGGTGACCAGCCATCATGCAAGATGTCCAATTACCTTGTCATCACCATGCCATGAGGAAGCTCAGCCAACCCACAGGAGAGGCCACAGAAGTAGCACTAATATGCCAAAAATACGTAGCTTTCTTGGACTTTCCAGCCCAGCTCAATGAATGAAGCCAGGTGAATGACCCTGGCCAGCACCACATGGAGAGGATCACTCAGCTAAGCCCAGTCAACCCAGAGACTAGTCATAAAAAAGTGTTGGCATTTTAAGCCTCCAGATTTGGGGGAGGCTTGTTATATAGCAAAAAAAAAAGAAAGAAAGAAAGTAAATATTATCTTAATTCTGCCACCTTAAAAAGACCTCCTAGTATTCTTTCAAACTAGCATCTAATTTTTGCTATCTCATGACCTTATTCAAAGAAAGAGAATTTACCAAATTCCTCTATACTTTCCCCATGTATTTTTATCAAGATTAAATTGTCACATGAGCTGTTTAATGCTCCAAGTGATCTGTTCACAAGGTCCCTTTCATGTCTCTTCTATCATGAGTTAAATGAGTTTTGCAAACTTGTCCCTCCCTTGATGGAACCTTTTAAAAATAAGTTTAGTGACCTCACAGCTTGGGGCACCTAAAGGTGGGTGGGCTCGTTAGAGCTCCTGCACCATGACATTAGCCCTGCCCTTGCCTTGACGATTCCTGGAGGTGCATTCTCTCATTTGTTTTTGCTGACTGGCATCAGGCAAGTTGCCTTTGGTTTCACTTTATTTATAGTTTCCATTCCCTTTCAACCTCAGTGAAAAGGACAGATTTCAATTTATCAGCATACATAAAAATGATGATACTTACTTTTTAGGTTAATAAGAAATTTAAATTACCACTGTACTGACATCTTAAATCTGTCTTTCAAAACAACTTCTGATTTTTCAAATTCTTAACTTAATCGTCATGTACATTATCACATTTATATTACATATAAGGTGCTGAGAAGAAGAACTTTCATGGAATTTAAACTGAATTACTCCACAGAATCTTCAGGAATGCTATTGTATAGTGGAAATCTGCTTTTGTTTAAAAAATAAAAAAGATGGGGTGGCACCTGTGGCTCAAAAGATAGGGTGCCAGCCCCATATGCTGGAGGTGGTGGGTTCAAACCCAGCCCCAGCCAAAAACTGAAAAAAATAAAATAAAATAAAAAAGATGGGGTGGCACCTGTGGTTCAAAGGATAGGGTGCCAGCCCCATATGCTGGAGGTGGGTGAGTTCAAACCCAGCCACAGCCAAAAACTGCAAACAAACAAACAAACAATAAATAAATAAAAATAAAAAAGATGATTCTGATGTAAGCCTCTTCCCTATTCTACTATAAAAGATATGCCTACCCTATTATTATCCACTAGAGTGCGACTTCCACTGTTCCAAAGTCACAGGGAAACACACCCCTGGGGGTGGGGGTGGGGGCAACTTTAGCCTTTCTTGATTGGAGTTTGGTTAGTTTCTGTTACCCACAGTCTGCTGCCTGGGATAGCAAAATCTGCTGGGTATATTTAAATCTCCCTTTACTGAACAAGATGTATCTACCTACACATAGTTTTATTTGGCTTCGTACCTGACACATTTTCCAAAACTATGAGAGTACTTCTTTACAGTCTTGAATTTTTTCAGTCTCTTAAAATAACATGCTTGAACTCACCGAAACGCTCCAATATGAAATGAGCGAGCATTTACTGCTCACTTACACTAATGTAGGGAGGCAATATAGAAAATAATATTATTATTAACCTTATTTTACAAAGGAGGAAATAAAGGCTTAAAATGTTAAGAAATGTCACAATGCTAGTACGTATTTGCAGAAATTTAAACCCAGGTCAAGCTGACTCCTGAGCATGTGCTCTGGACCACAGGGTTCTACTGGCTCCATTATTATTTAATAGATCAATAAAATCACACTTCCCATTTTGTATATGCAGAAGGATGAAAATCTAATTTAAAAATAACTACCAAAGTAATAACAACTGACACATTATAATAAATTGCCAATTACAATAATGTTTCAACATGCTAGCAAGTTTCATGGTATAGGATTTAACCTCAGCTGAGTTCCCACTGCAAAATATCTTCCTCTTTTCCTTCAATGGAATTTAGCAACAATTACTCAAGATTGTCTAAGGGAATTTAATTACCATTATGGTTTAATTAGAAGAGATATTTCTAATATAAGAAGATATCATCATTTTAGGGACTCAAGGAGCCACATGTGAAACTATAAATTATACTCATAAACAAAAGAGTTACTTAATGGCTCTCTATTGGGGTAATTTTATACTCTCCTGGCAACATTTGACAATGCCTAGACACACTTCCCTTGTCATCACTGGAAGGGTACTACTAGCATCCAGAAAATAAAGAGGTTACTAACATCCTACAATGTTTGAGAAAAAACTATCTGACCTAAAATATCAAAGGACTGAAAAACCCAAAGGAAGTGGTTTATGCTCAGAGGTTTACCATGACAAACCTATAGAGATGAATTATTATAGTGAAATAATATAAATTCACTGGTAATGAATTATTATTGGGAGAAGAAACCATTTTGCATATGAAATATAAATGGAGAAAAGGTGCCCATACCCAATGCCATCCAAAGTTTCCAAACTGGTAAGCATTAAGAGCACGGATCATTCTACTTAGTCAAAACTCCCCGCCATGTTCCCAGACATAAGTTCACAGACACACCAACTAAAGTTTCTTCTATGCATTTACCTAGAGGCTTTTCACAAAACTTTCATTCCATTGACTTAGCCAATAACACAATTGAACACGGCCCCAGGATCTAGAAACATAGCATGGAACAGAGAGATACAAACATCTTTCTTGAAAACAAAGACAGGAAAATGGGTGCCAGCCATTCTACTCTTCAATCATAACCCCCATGCCGCAAAAGTAGAAGACACCAACCTGTGCCATGATTTTACAAAGCCACTTGGGTTCCACAAAATATAAGTCACTTAACTGCAGTGCTGGGTCTTGAAAATGAAGAAGGACTCCTGCAGTAAAAATTCATCAAACAGTGAAACAAGGAATCTAGAACATACAAATATTAAGGGGCTTTACAGAGAATCTGATCCAACCTCCTTGTCTTACAGTGGAGGAAAAGTCAGTGGAGTTGAGTTAGCAGCAGAGTTGGGACTAGAACCTGTAATCCAGGTTCCCAAACTCTTTTTTCTTTTCTTAAAGAGACAGAGCCTCATTTTGTTGCCCTTGGTAGAGTGCCGTTGAGTCACAGCTCACAGCAACCTCCAGCTCTTGGGCTTAGGCGATTCTCTTGCCTCAGCCTCCAGAGTAGCTGGGACCACAGGCGCCCGCCGTGATGCCCCACTATTTTTTGTTGCAGTTTGGCCGGGGCTGGGTTTGAATCCACCATCCTTGGTATAGGGACCAGCACCCTACTCACTAAGCCACAGGTGCCGCCATGGGTTCCCAAACTCTTAAGTCCCAACAACATAATGAAGTTATATTTTTTAACTATATACAACGATCATACACAAGCACATCCAAGACACTGGCATCCATCGCAGAGTACAGATTTACAAACAAACAGAAATTCATGATTTCCTTTTACGTTGCTAACTACACACTGAAACACAATTCATTTTCAAACACAGGTAGGAAACACATCATATGTCAAAATATCTGATTTAAGAATGATGGGAAATGGAGCAGATTATAATCCAGATGAAGATATTTTTTATGCAACAGAATCTAGGGCTCTAAAGCAGCTTCCCAGCCACTTACTCCATACGATACAAATCAGCCCACACATTTCTAGCAAGGCAATGCAAATCCAGCACACAGTCAGCACCGTAGTGGGTTTGACAGTGTTTGTCTGTGAGATCAATGAGTGATGCACCAGGGCCAGCTGTGCCACTCGGCAGCTGCATTGTCTCAGGCAACCATTGATTCTCTAAGTGCCCAGTTAGACCAACCCAGTAATCATTCTCCTGGGCAGTACAAAAAGAACTTTCACGTGCACTCAATTCATTTGACAGCGACACTAGGAAAGGCTGTGGTTGTACTCAGGGCTCCACAGCTCCCACATAGTAAAGTCACGTTCTAGACCTCGCGTGTTTTAACTCCTCCTCAGGGATTCTTCCCACCCCTTGGACTTGGGATGATTTCTAAATTTCTTTGGTTATGACATGATGTATGATTAAACATCCATGCACACGATGATCTTCAAAAAAAAAAATGGCCCATTAAAGAATTGTGACCATATTCTCTTAAAGTTTAAATGTAAATTCTATATTAAAATTCAGAAACACTTTTATAAATTACTACGTCTGAGCTTTGAAAAAAAAAAAGTGAAACTAACAAACGCTCAAACCTGATTCGTTTAGGAAGTGAACCGCGTGAGGAAGCTCATTTTCATCCAGCTGCAGCTGACTTTCTCTCACTAGTTGTAACAATCGTTTCCGGTCAATTACGGGAAATTCAATTGGCACATGTTTACGCTCCGATAAAATGATTTTCTCAAGTTCGACATAGCAGTCTGGAATCAGCTGCCCCACAACGGGCTGATCTCGGATCTGTGAAATTACAAATGACAACTGGAAAAATCTGTTTGACTCACGTATTTGTCAGGTGACTGGTAAATTTGGTGTTAATCGTTTTTACAGAAATGGGTCTATTACTCAAAGCGTATTGCTGAATACAATGAAAACGGGATGTCAAGCTATTTAAATAGGAATAAAGAAGATGAAATTAAACTAAGAAAATTATATACACCGAGACCAATTGACAAAGAAAGATCAAATAACATAGTACGAAAATATTTATCGAGCTATCCAGAAATTCTACGGCAAAAAAACAAGGTACCTCGCTTACCACAAATTAAGGATTTTGTTTAATTTTCTAAGACATTAAACTTAATGTTCAGGAGACATGTTAGCATAAGAATTCGGTATGCAGGGTATCCATACAGTTCATGTGCAATGTAAAATAGTTTAACATAGTAAACTGTGCATAAACTTTATGTCCAATAAATATTACATTATTTATTACATAAAAATGCTCATGCCCAAGATCAAACATTAAATTTTGTGCTTCTTATTTGGCAAAACGTAAAGGTGGGCTGTACATATCAGCTGTGAAACCTGGAGGCATAAAATCTTTTCACCCAGGCTATGCTTGCAAGGCTTGTGGAACCTTATATTTGGGAAAATGAGAAATCATCTAAATGCCTATGATTCTGACTTGAGAGGATGATTACTGCACTGTCATACTTTGAATACTAATCACTGTCTGCTCATTGAGAAAAATATGAAATAATTCTTTTAAAACAATGGTCTGAATGTCACAGTCTCTATAATAAAAAATATTTTCCAAACCTTTTTTAAAATATAATTTTAAACAGAAATGCAATTCTTTTTTTTTTTTTATTAAATCATAGCATTAATGCAATTATAGGGTACAATGTGCTGGTTTTATATACCATTTGAAATACTTTCATCAAACTGGTTAACATAGCCTTTGCCGCATTTTTTTAGTTATTGTGTTAAGACACTTCTATTCTACACTTAGTAGATTTAACTTTTACCCTTGTAAAATGCACCGTAGGTGTGGTCCCACGAATTACCCTCCCTCCACCCATCCTCCCTCCTCCCCTCTGCTCCCTCCCTGCTTCTGCAACTCTTAACAATAGCAAACAAAATGCCATCAAGAACCACCAGATGGCACACTCTCCCTATTTCTGGACCCATGAAAATTACGTATTCTTTTTACCTGACAATACCAACCAGGATTTCTACTCAAATTCTTAAACTTACGACAAATAGAAATTCAGCACATGCAAACCAAACTCTAACTTGCTCCTTTTCTACTTTTAGCTAGAACCTTAAGGATCCTGAATTACAGCAGACAGCAGTTACTTCCATATTTACCTGCCAATAAAGGGTTACTCCAAAGATTGGGGCATGCGTCCCTGGCCCCAGACTATTAGGTATAATCTCACTAACCACCACTTCTCACATTCCCTTTCTTCATTATTTATAAACTAAGATGAAATGGAACTGCAGATTGAAGTTTCATGTTTTAACTCAAGGAGGAAAACCCACCAATAGAACTAAACAAGGGTTCTTGCTTTCGAAAGCAAACCAAGGGCAAAGGGCACGATGAGCTTGAAGAGGCTGGATCCCCGGACCAGCAGACCAGTGAGGGAGGCCCGCTCTGATAACGGGAGGGACAGGAGTGAAGGCGGTATATTGGCCCTGAACTCTGTTATCCTGCTCTTCTTTTTAGCTCAATTATCAGCTCAACAACAGGCTATGCAAAAATACACACACACACACACATATACATATAGACACACACACACACAAATGTCTTTTACTTTAAAGAGTCTGCACAGACACACATTAATAAGGGTGAGACAGGTAAAGATTAGAGAAGAGCCAGGATCAAAAGAAAAGATGAAAAATAAATGAAAAGACAAAATAATGATCTCTAATAGATTAAGAGCTGCTGTTTGAATAATGGTTGCAGCACCTCAGGGAAGAAAGAACATTCGAGTTCTGGCAGGCTCACTGGTCCTCAGTCATCTGAAAGAGCTACTGTTCTACAAAGCAGTCAAATGAGTTTTCAATCCAATAAGCCAAAATGATGCATCTGTTAGCAATATATACTTTTCTTTAAATAATACATTTCTCAAAGCATGTCTTTTACTTTCTGTAGAGTTGTCTTCCAAATTCATTTATAATGCTGAAAAAAGAACTGGTCCAATTGACTGATAGTGATAACTTACTATTAGAAAAAAGCAGTTTGGGGCATCACCCATAGCTCAGTGGGTAAGGGCGCCAACCACACACATCAACGCTGGTGGGTTCAAACCCAGCCTGGGCCTGCCAAACAACAATGACAACTGCAACAACAACAACAACAAAACAGCCAGGCATTGTGGCAGATGCCTGCAGTCCCGGCTACCGGGAGGCTGAGGCAAGAGAATCACTTAAGCCCAGGAGTTTGAGGTTGCTGTGAGCTGTGATGCCATAGCACGCTACTGAGGGTGATAAAGTGAGATTCTGTCTCAAAAGAAAGAAAGAAAGAAAGAAAGAAAGAAAGAAAGAAAGAAAGAAGCAGTATTAATTTAGCTTAAGGAAACAATCATCTTATGGGTCTAAACTCAAATTTTGTTTCAATTAAATTCAGACTTTTCAAAACAAACTCATTCTCTAATGATTTTTTTTTTAAAAAGATATGATATATGCTCTGACAGCAATGACAAAAAGGAGAACTATTAAAGTATTCTATAACAACAAAATTCTTGAAGAAACCAACACAATAAAGAGATTAACTGAATGAATATATCTTACATATATATATATTTGTAAGTCATATTATTCTCTAATCAGATGTCCCACAAGAGAGTGGAAAATCTGGACATTAATATGTTATTCTCATATAAAATGCCACTATCAACCCACCATCAGTAAAACCTTTCAGTAACTGTAATAAATGTGTGTTGAAAGACACAAATATACAAGTTCTCTCCCTGGGAACAACAAAGACTGTCACATTGATCAATGGCGCCTTATGTTTAGTACAGAAGCATAATTTATAGAAATGGAACAAAACAAAGCTAACTGGCCAAGATGGGGCAATAACAAGGGTGACCATATAATTTATCATCTAAACTGGGATATTCTGATGACTGTAGTGGGACACTATTAACAATTATACCAGGACTGCCCAGGCCAAAGAAGACTGTAGTTATAAGCCACGATCTTTTTTTTTTTTTTAAATACAATCTCAAGCTGGGTAGGGTGCCCTGGCATCACAGCTCACAGCAACCTCAAACTCTTGAGCTTGAGTGATTTTCTTGCTTCGGCCTCTCAAGTACCTGGGACTACAGGCGCCTGCCACAATGTTCAGCTATTTTTTGGTTGCAATTGTCATTGTTGTTTGGCAGGCCCAGGCTGGGTTCAAACCCACCAGCCTTGGTGTATGTAGCCAGTGCCCTGCAGACTGAGCTACAGCTGCTGCAATAAGCCACAGTCTTGATCATTAGAGCTAAAGAGCTAATTTAATAGGGACTAGGTGAAATTCACCATCATGTTTGCCACATTGAACTATTTAGGGTATTTTTATGTATAATTTGTACACCATTCTCCCAGCAGAATCCAGGGAAGTCTCCTGTACTTATTTTAAAACAGAGCATTCTCCCTGATAACTGATTTATTTGTGTTTTAGGAACACTTGACTTACCAGACGAGAACTTCAAAAACGTTAAACATAAATCCTAAAATGAGAAGTCCAGTTCGTCTGAACTAAGCATTTAGACATGGCGAAAAACGAAACTAGTGGTCTTGATGACTAAATAAGTCTTCTCACAATACGGATGGAAAAAACTGGCACGGAAATCAGTGACAAGAATTATGAAAAGGTGGCACCGAAGATCAAGCTGTGCACGAAATAGGAACTCCAAAAGACAGGTGCAGATGGAAAAACCAAAGTCAAAGAACAATAGAAGAAAAACAATCCCAAACCTCACTACTCACCTTCACTCTTGTAATTGAATCACCACTACAAGAAATCAGGGGTGGGGGTGGGGAAGGGCATCCGAAACATTTTCTCGTGATCCCAGAAACATTCTTTTACTTCTATCAGGACTCCCCTAATTATTTTTTATTCCCATTGCTATAAACCAGAAATGAGGAATGGTATTCAGTAAGTAATTTTAAAATTGAAAGAACTATAATAATGCTAACAGCTAAGGGGAAAAACTCCAGTATTTTAGGAGAGTTGCTCTCCTCTCAAGACTTCTAACGTCTCTAAACAGTTGCCTAACCTGAGAATTAATCAATGTTATCACTCTCCCGCCCTCTGTAGGCTCTGTGTTACCTTGAAGTTAAGGCTCTCATTGATGATGGTCTTGCGAAGTTTGGCCAAAGCGTCGGACTCCTCTGTGGCATTCACGAAGTGGTAGTCGCGGATGGCAGGGAACCCCCGCTTGTTCAGGAGCTCCTTGTTGATTTTCGTGATGCAGGCTTTGCGCTGCTTCTCATCAGAAACATCCAGGTGTGTGCCCACAAGAATCACAGGGGAGGAGGAGGCCCGAGCCTGCAGGAGACCCCGAGAGTGATGCTGTGTTTGCTTTGAAATGGGGACCGGTTATACTTCTGTTGCTTTCTTTGAAATTCACACAAGTAAAAATGAGAAATGAAAAGAACTCAGAAGAAGAAAAGAA